TAAAGTCAGAATTCTGAGATTAAAGTCAGAATTCTGAGATTAAAGTCAGAATTCTGAGATTAAAGTCAGAATTCTGACCTTTTTCCCATATTAAACTGAAATAAGATCAGTTCAAATCAGTTAGCTTTTTCCCCCCCCAGTGGTCCTAATCCTCTTCCGTAGCTCCCTTTATGATCAGGGTTTTGGAGGACTAATAAAGCACATATTTTTTTTTTGTCTCAATTAAAACATTAATTTCTGTGCCATTTGTCAATAAAGTTATTATTGAATCAAAATAAATTTCAGTTTTATGAGGAACTAAAAAAAAAAAACAAGTCTGTAAGTAAAGGTATAAACATGGGCGGTTCTAGACAGGGGCCAACGGGGGCCAGTGCCCCTGCAGCTCATGTCCTGGCTCCTGGTATGGCCCCTGCACTGAAGACATAATACTTTGTTACTTTTTTTTTCTTTACAAATTCTGTTTTACTAATAATCCAAAATAATAAGGTGATTATAAGGCTTCTGTGGTATTGAGATAGGATCCCAGATTTCATCTACTAAATGTTTTTTTTTAATGCTCTACTTTTTACAGGTGAATTTATCAGCTTTTCTTTAGTTCTAATTCAGATTTTATAAAAAAAAAACAAAACGGTAATTTGAACTTAAATTATGTGAAAAATATGTAAAATCCCGAAATCCTGAATATATATTGACCTAATAAGAAATAGAGTTTTAATTAAACCTAATTGAATGGAAATTTTACTTTATGCAGCTCTCTTAATTTATTTGGATCCCTTGCCGTGTTTTTTTATTTCACGCTTTTCTGTGCCCCCTTGAAAACAACACTGGCCCCCTCCTGGCCCCTCTGGTACATTTGGTCTAGAACCGCCACTGGGTATAAATCTTTTTATTTTGTACCTTTTTGGGGTTTCATTTTTTTAAGGAATTTTATGGCCCCAATTCAGCTCCATAAATAATCCCCCATGAATAAACTAAATATAGATTTCTATAGAGAATCTGTTTGTTCATTTAGTGAAACATTTGTTAGGAACTGATGCTAAAAATATCAATAAACAAAATTTAAAAAAGCAAAGCTGAAAACAGACATTAATTCTTCTAAATAAAACAATAAAGATGTTTATTTTTTAAGGCTTTGAGTCTCAGCTCTGTCATATGGAATATTTTCTCTGTAATAGTTAAACTATGTTTGAATATTTACTTTAATATAAAGTATATATATAAGGTAATCTACATGGAGACAGCTACCGATCCTGGCTGGCGTCATGTGTCGCAGACTGAACCGCTTCTGTCTCTGGTTGCTTTTTAGGACTCCGCGTGCGCTGAGACGGAATGCGTGGCGCGCTCCGGTGTCACTGGACTCCGTCTCGCCGGACGCAGAGCTTTGTGCGCAGCCTGAAGGGAAGCACGCGTCCTGGGCGGCTTCATGAAACACCGACCGCTTCGTGTCAGACACCAACATTTACGCTGCTGCCATGAAGACCGACAGGAGATGCGTCCAAATGTTGGCGGCCAGCGGGCAGGAAGACGATCCGCTCCAAAAGGAACCGCACGACGTCTCGGAGACGCAGGACGAAACCAGATACGTCGATTTTGAGCCAAAGGAGGAAGAGAAAGTTTGTCGCTTTGGTTCCAGAAACCAGGCGCCTGTCGTTGATGAAAACAGCCGATTGGAAGCAGTTTGCGCACCGGAGCCGAACTGTGAGCTGAGCGGGATGCATCCAGAGGAGGCAGGGAGCGACTCAGGTAAGGAGAGTGTTGAAGACGTCGGGAACGCGTCTCCATCCTCTCCACCTTGTCTGGAAAAGACTGAGGATTGCCTGCAGACAGGAGCGCGCGGCGGTGAGCTGAGCGCATTTACGCGCGGCGAGGTGTCCAAAGGAAACGCAGAGCGCGACGAGGAATCCCACAGCACCCACAGCTGCCTGAGTGGGAGAAGTGAGTGGGAGGACTGCGAGGAGTCGGACAATGTCAGCCTGCTGCTCTCTGATGATGAAACGCTTCCGTGCGTAACAGAGGACCATTACATTACCACGCACGAGATCCAGCTCTCTGAGCTCTCTGACCACGAAGGCGGCTTCGACCTCAGCGCGGCCTCCTCCGCCAGCTGGGAGGCGGAGGATGACGCGCAGGTGTACCCCTTTGTGGATTACTGCTTGGAGCGCGGAGGGGCTGCGGGGGATCCGGGGGCCAGCCGTGCGCCCTGCTCCCTGGGAGTCAGCACTCTGCTGGAAAACGATCTGCGCGGCGAAGAGACGCGGCGCGGCGGCAGCAGCGAGGGACAGATCCGCCTGTCAATCAGAACCACGTCCCGAGCTATAAATGAGCCGCGCAGCATCCAGGAGGAGGGGAATGTTCTTTATCATGCGAGGCGCGCAGGAGACATGAGCCGCTATGTGTTCAGGGGGGTGGAGGGGAAGGCCGAGGGCCTGTGCGACAGGGCCCAGTGCTTCATAGCCGCGCCAGGGCGCCTGCACTTTGGCGGCAGATTGAGGGGGAAGGAGGTCACCGGGTGCTCCAGCGGCACCTCCAGCGAGCTAGACGACGCTGACAAGGAGGTGCGCAACCTCACAGCCAGAGCCTTCAAGAGCCTGGCCTATCCTTACTTTGACACCATCAATTTCAGCACCTCCAGTGAGTCCTCTGCCTCAGAGCACGGCTTAGGGATAAACAGGTGGTCCACCTTTCTGGATCTGAAATACGGAAAGGTCAACGTCTCCCAGGCAGCGGACCAAAGTGTGGTTTCCCGTCAAAACTCTTCCCAAAACAGAGACAGCAGAGCCTATAAGGGCATCAAACCGCCCACCAGCAACATATTCACTTTGAACGCCAACCCCCACGGCGCATCGTCATCAAAGCAGATCCAGCTGATGGGGAAATTGGGGCAGGGCCACAGTGGAGTGATCAGACTCACAGAGACTCTGAATTTTCGCTGCAATGTCAAATCGGGAACGTCTGGGGGAGAAAGGCGCACCGACTCGGTGCAAAACGCTGCAGGATCACGTTCCACGGATGAGGTTACCAAGAGCCTGCAGAGCAGCCAGCAGAGAGGGGGCAGCCAGCAGCCCTCTAAAAGCATGGATGAGACGCACAAGAAAGCGGTGTTCGCCTCCAGTCTGATCAAAAATGTCCTTTCTAAGAAGATCCAGTTCGAACAGGAGCGCAGGATGGAGAGAGGGGAGATCAGCGAGCCGCACCAGGCGCCCTCCCCGCAGGAGAGCGACAGCCGGCGGAAGGGGAGCAGAGAGCTGCAGAGACAGAGCTCCAAGTTCTCCGAGAGCGGCTCCGACTTCGCCGTAATGTCTGCGGACGAATTAGGAGACATTGTGGAGAGCGGCTCATGTGATAGCAAGAGGCAAGACGCGTCTGCAACAGAAACTAATTTGAACTCGGCCAATGAAGCTGGGATTGATACTAAAAAAGGCGCACTGCTCCGCAGCCAAAATAGCGCATTCAGATGCTGGAAGGACGAGGTGCTAGGGTTTCAAAAGGATCATAAAAACGATCAAACTCCGGAGGACAAGCTGCTTCCAGCTGAGGACAAAGACTTGGAGGGGGATCCGTCCTCAGCACGCTGCGCTAAACCCACCAAAATGTCTCATTTGTTTGTGCCAAGTATCCAGCTGCTGCCCAGCGACGGAGAGGCGAGCGCGCAGCGGCACAGGGGAGCCTACTCCCGGAATGGAAGCAAAACTTTATACGTGCCAGACTCCAGCAGCTCCAAAACATCCAAATCCCCGGAAATCAAAATCAACCTGAGAAGCGTGAGAGACGGCACGGCGGGCTCCAAGCTGCGCGCCCCAAATATCAACTCCAGCCTCATCAGAACAGACGAGCTGAAATGCCAAGCTTTGGCTGCGGCCCTGAAGGGTGAGTCCGCGGATAAAGTTCCGCATTTTATGGTTAGAGACATCAGAGAAAACAAAGGGAAGTTACAAACTCCCATTCACCAAGTCAGAGATGTGCGTAAACTGGTTAAAAGTTCATATCACTTTGTTTCTTTGGATAACAAAGAAACCAAATCCAGCTCTACCAACAGGAATCCTAACTCTGGCTCCCCTATAGTCATAAAATGTCAGTCTGTAAATACTAACAGTACTGAAAAACCCACAGAGTTGATGAAACTGGAGCAGTCTGACACATGCAGGTCGTCTCCAGAGGGCGCTAAGAGCGCTTCTCCTCAGAAGGCAGGGAGAGCACCAAACCCTTCCAACAGCTCAGAGGGGAGCACTGTGATGAGCGGGGAGAGCAAAATAAACACAACAAAGCAAGAACCGGTGTCAGACGTGACAGAAAATAGACCGGAGACCAAGATGGCAAACCGGGCGGCTCTGGAGAAACTCCAGGCTGCAGTGAAAACCATGGAGCAGCTGTACGTGTTTGAAAAAAACGAGTGGAAAAGAAAGAGCGAGCCCCGGCGTCTGACGGACAGTCATGTGCTGTCACTGATAGCCCGCGAGGAGCAGCAGGAACCCGAGGAAAGAGGAGGGATAGGGTTCAACGCAGACAGGGCGGTCAGGAGAGACTCCTACCCCAATATAGACACGACCCCCTCCGCGTTATCCACGCCCCCCGCCACTGACAGCTCCCTGAGGTGGCTGGACAAAGACCTACTTAAAGTTTTCCAGGCATCCAGCGGCCATGATGAAAGGTCAACGCAAACATCTGGTCCCACGGGGGGCAAGAACATGTCGGGCTTCAGCCCCAAAGCCAAGGTCTCCACAGCCGCCAATGTTTTCCAGACAAACACCCCCCCCAGCGGAAAAACCTTCGCACCAAAGTCCCCGAAGCTGCCTCTGTCCCTAAAAACCAGCTGGTCAGGAGTTAGTGGGAAGGAGGATTCTGAACCAAGGGGTGCAGACCGCTTTGAACATCAGCTTTCAGGCGCATCAGCGGACGGTGGGAATTACCTAACCATCCCGGTTAAGACCCCACCCAGCAGCCGCAAAACTGCATCTTCAGATAAAACATCAGCAAAGACGCTTTGCCATCAGTCGCAGTCAATGTCTCCCGAACGATATGAGGGATCTGCCTCACGAGGTCAGGAGACGAAACGATCCAGCCTTGTGATGGAGACCCACTCACCTGAGATTCCCTCTGCTACCATTTACCACTCCCTGCCTTTGGCTGCGCCTGCCAGTCAGCCGCAGGTCTATTGCTTCTCCCCGGCGATGACTCCCGCCCCCACCCTCGACCCCTTTCAGGCCACACAGAGGAAAATGCTGCTGGATCCCACCACTGGAAATTACTACCTGGTGGACACGCCCGTGTCCCCGGCCACAAAGCGCCTGTTTGACCCAGAAACAGGGCAGTACGTGGACGTACCCATGCCCCAGCCTCCGATGACACCGGTACCTATGCCTATCTCGCCGCTTGCGCTCAGTCCAGGAGCCTACGGTCATACCTACATGATCTACCCCGGCTTCATGCCGACGCCTTCGGTGATACCTGCCAGAACGCTGGTACAGTCCCAGATGTCAGAGGCAGAGAGCGTAGAGAAGTTTTCCTCACAGCAGGCCGAAGGGATGTACATGGAGAGTCCCTTCTACATGGCGACTGGGAAGCCTTCCCAGGCAGCTCCTCAGCAGAGCGCCTCCAACAGGCCACAGCAGGGATACTCCGGCCTCAATCAGCCCGTCATCAGCTTCACCTCCCAGCAAGGACCCCGGATCATCGCCCCACCCTCATTTGACGGGACCACCATGAGTTTTGTGGTGGAGCATAGATGAGATGCAGCTCAGCTTGGAGACGTGAGTCCTTTACATCCTCACATAGTCATGCCTCTAGGGGAAAAAACTGGAAAACAAAGTCCAGTTCTTGGTCATTTTGAAACGGCTGCCCTGCTAGAAAGAGTCGTAGGCAATACTAGGCAGTTTCCTAGGGCCCCAAATTCCTGGGGGCCCCATAAAACTCTGTTTACATGTATGGTTAATACAACCATTCCTTATTTGTGCACATTAAATATGTTTTTGATAAAAATCCTTCGGCTAAAATGCCATCAGAACGCTGATAATATTAAGCCCTCCCCTTCAGTGTCCACCATATTGGATTCAATTCAATTCAGTTTATTTCTATAGCGCCAAATTCACAACACACGTAATCTCTGGTTCAACCAGATCATACAGTCAAATTGATCCAAAGTTTTCTATCTAAGGAAAACCAGTTGATTGCATTAACTCATTGACTCAAGTACAATCCCTCACACTAAGCATGCTTGTAGCGACAGTGGAGAGGAAAAACTCCCTTTTAACAGGAAGAAACCTTCAGCAGATCAGTCCATTTGCTGCTCATGTTCAGAAAGGTCCAAACAGACA